TGTGGCTGCACGGGTTCCTGACGCTGCAGCCATCTCGCCTGTAGGACCAGTGTTTGCACTGGGGGCATCAGCACCTTATTCCTATTTCCGTTCTGGGAATGAGAGCCAGAGCAAAGCCAGCTCCTACACAAGTCACCTTCACTAGCCGGGTCACAGTGCTGCAATCAAGCAGTACCCCTGTAGCTCCCTGTTGCCAGACCAATGGTGCCATCTACCCAGGGCCCCTGGAGCCCTGTATGTCCGCTTGAGGCCTTACAGTAAGCAAGGAGGAACTGCGCCCTTGTTTGGAGAGCTGCTTCCCACAGCATCAGCCTTGTTTCTAGCCGCCAGCTGGAGACTCCATCTCCACAAGCTGGCGTGGGCTCTCAGGGGGCAGAGCACAGGACCCGGCTGCCTTACGGAAGGGGCAGTGGTGTTTCTGTTCCTGGGCGGCACTGAGCGGGAAGGGCGAGGGTACTTACACACAGTGGTGGTGCAGACAGCATCCTCTCTGAGTGCTGGGTGGGAGGCCAGGCAGGTGTACGAGCTGCCGTTCCGGACGTCCACCCCTCGGTGGATTCTGGTAGCATTGGAGTAGGACGCCGCAGCGTCTGCTTCCCGGCCGGCTCTCACCCACCGCAGCCGCGCTGGGGGGAACCCGCCTGGCCACGAACACTGCAGAGCAATGTCCCGGAAATTGGCAGCAGGGACTGGTGTGCAGCTGGGCTTCCCCTCGGGCAGATCTGTGCGTGGGGCAAAGATTGTATCAACAGCAAGAGGAGTTAGCAACACCAGGAAGAACACAAGGCCTGTTGCCTGGGGCTGCCATGCGCAGGAGCTGCACTGGGGCCAGGGAGTCAGGGACCAAGGGGGAGCTCTGTCTGTGTGGCTCTGTGGGCTCTTCCCAATGGGGCCGGCTCCCTGGCGAAGCGCCGTTGGAGCAATGGAGAGGAGCAGGGAGAGCACAGGGTACTCGGCGACCGGCGACGTGGGTTTGGATCGCTAAGCCCAAGACATGCTGGGCGGGCCCTGGCCACCATCAGTGCTAAGGTGCGAACGTGAGGAGCAAGAGCAGCCGATGGAGACAGAGGTCGAGTTCCCTTTGACACGTTGCTGTCCCTCTGGTACCACGAGACTGCTCCCCAGCAAGGCGCCTGAGCCAGGGCCAGTGTGAGGGAGGGGCAGGGCAGGCATGTGGCCCCTCTTCCATAAAGGCTGCCCCCTCACCGGAATGGTGGTTTGTACCCTAGGTGGGGTAGCTGTGGCCTCAACCCAGTGACACCCAGGACCTTTGGAGTTTGCAGAGGGCAGAAAGCAGCAAGCCGGGGACGGGACAGCGACCCAGTGGCTCTGAGACGCTCTGGGGACGGGACAGCGACCCAGCGGCTCTGAGACGCTCTGGCGCGCGGGGGACAGGACAAAGCAACAGAGGGTCCTGTGGCACCTTTAAGACTAACAGAAGTATTGGGAGCATAAG